CAGTTAATTGGAAGTCAATTTTCCATAGTCTCCCCTTTACACTCTTTTGGTGACGACTGATCCCCTTTCTGTTCCTTCTGGAAACCATGTGATCCCCAAAAATCCTCCACCCTTACCTGTCAGTATGACAGTACCAGACTCGTTCGCAACTTTTGCAGACGTAAGACGCGCTTATAACACGTGTCAGTTGTCTCTTAAATTCCTTAAGTACGTTGGAAGCACCTTCTTCCTCTCTCCTATGAATAGTTCATTTGCATTTTTTGTGAGCCCCGCCGAAAGGCAGGGCGACGAAAAATTGGTTTCTAAACTCATTCAACTGTTCTCCTCCACGGAAATCTTTAGTAAAAGGCGAAAGATTTGTGCGTAACGAAGGGAAACCAGAGTTAGCGTTAATGTGATTGACCGGGCATTATGTAGAAAGTAACATCACAGAGCATATGGGACAGGGAATTCCGCTACAGTTTCGACTCACTTGGATATTAATGACACGCATGCAAAACATTGCGTTTAGTTTGTTTAAGCTCCAGCTCTCGTGTTACCTTATAACGATAAAACTGCGGTGAAACTTTTGAAAAACGCAAGAAAAATCTCTTTCCACGGCAGAAAGGAATATTTTCCGTCCACTGACCGACGATCACCGGTGTCAGTAAATCCTTGGATACGCGCATAAAAAGCTGTCTTTTACGTCGGCAATGGTGGCTACATAGTACTACAACGGTGATTGCTAAACCCTGCGTGTTTTTATCAGTTGTTTCGCATTTATTCGAGAAATCTTCTTTTCATCCTCTAGCTTCTATCGGAGTTCAAGAAAGCTGGAGTTCAGATATACCTGGCTGGTTGCTCTTGTGAGTATTTCCTTTTTTCAAGTTTTAAATCATAGTTTGGGCGGAATTCACGATAAAAAAATTACTCCTATTATTATTATTAAGCGTGATGTCCGATTCTCTGACTTAAGAATTTAATTAGTAAGCGTAATATCGTCTCTCCACAGCAATTCTCATTAAAAGGCTCGCAAGTTCCACTAAGAAGGCCGCCATACAGGCCATTCCACATCACGCGATGTTTCCATCCATTCATGACGCTGTTATATCTGCCATAAGATCACGTGACTACGCGGTAAGTTTCACAATCATGCGACGGCTAAACAAAACTGATGCACATGTCTTTTCCTTGATAGCGAAGAGCGAGTGTACCATGAAATACTGGGGTACACATATCAATGCAATAATTCACGTTCCCACTTTGCAATTTTATATATTGCACTATGGGTAAATATATCCCCATTTTGCTTTCCTTGCAGCTTTGGGGAGAAGACTTGGAGAAGGAGACATGTTTGTAATACTGATCCTGGCTGATATTTCTGTCGTGGAAAATTTCAGATCGTTAGTAGTTCTTTTATCACTGGCGAACGAAATAAACGTTTTAAAAATCGGTGACAGAGAGGGGCAGGGTGATGAACTCCTCGTGCAGAATAGAAGGGCCTTTCCGAGAGGTCTAAATGAGCGTACCCCAGGAAAACAATGAAGGTCTACAGACTTAAAAAAATTTTCATTTTTAGTGGATACTCCGTTGTGGGAGGGAGTTGGGCTCTTAGCCTCTAAATTTCCATATTACCTTAACGAATAAATTTTGTTTTTTTCTTCCGTCGGACGGATTCTGTAAGAGCGAAATTCACAACGTGATACATAGATATTTATATATATATGTATATATATTTTTTCAATATTACGATTCATGACGTGAATATATTCCAAAAATTCTCACTTTTCAGTGGAATATTAATTTGTACTCAATTTGAATATTATACATGTACTTTAGGGAAGTAGTCAGAGGACGGAATGAATATTTTTCCTCGGCCACTAACCCAACATATTTAATCTTGCTTTATTTTATTTTTTCATTGTATATATGACAAAGTATCATTAAACTTGATGAGTCAAACAAAATATGAATAGACTTTGTGGTTACAGTCCGTTTGTTCTCTCAGCAGAAGCTCTTTCGTTAACATCCGCTGGATACAATGAGTGTAGGCGCAATTTGAACGAGAGGTGAACGATTTTGTTGACCGTTCGATTTTCGCCTGGAAAATTAGGACAAATTAAGATAATTGATAGTATAGAAACAGTGTTGGTTGGAAGATGATTGATCTCTAATATGAACGAAATCCAAATGCACTGAGAGACCAATACCCATGATGTTTTAATAAAAAGGCCATGTAGGACTTCATGTGGCTACTGATATGGCAGAATTTTTATAACCATGAAAAGAACTAGAGGTTGTATAATGACGTTTGAAGGTAGTGTTGCAAAATATTTGTATTCACATGCAAAACGGAAAACCTGCCGCATCCCAGATATTTATGAGTATCATGTTCCACAAGAGAAGATGAAAATATAGTGACCAATTGACTTCAATAAACAATGGTAACAAACAATCATATTTTAAAACAATAAAACAATAATAATAATGATGATGACAATTGTAACAGTAATTATAATTAATAGAGGCTAGGTCAATAACCTCACTGTTCCTCTTTCGTCTAAGCTCCAATAATGATTAAGCTTTGCTTCTTTCACTTTCGCCTGTTAATTATAAATAATTTCCACATTTCAAAATATATGATCGGCCACTAGTGTGCAAAATCCAAAATTGGCCACTAACATCCAAAATCGGCCAGTAACGTCTAAAATCAAAAATCGGTCACTATCGTCCGAAATCAAAAGTTGACCACTACTGTCCAAAATCCAGAATCGGCCACTTCTGTCCAAAATACAGAATCGGCCACAAGTTTCCAAAATCCCAAATCGGCCACTAGTGTTCAAAATCCAGGATCGGCTACTAGCGGCCATTATTGTCTTTAATCCAAAATCGGCCACTAGAGTCCAACTTCTAAAATCGGTCACTACTATTCAAAATCCAAAATCGGTCACTGATGTCCAAAATGGTAAATCGGCCACCAGTGTCCAAAAATCTTAAATCGGCCACTGGTGTCTACAATTCAAAATCGGCCATAGTGCCCAAAATCCAAAATCCTCCAAAAATAAAAAATCGGCCACTACCGAGTGTCCAAAATAGGCCACTAGCGTCTAAAATCTAAAATCGGCTCCTAGTGTCCAAAATCCCAAATCAGCCCATAGAGTACAAAACCAAAACCGGCCACTACTGTGTAAAAAACGATTATCAGGCACTGGTGTCCAAAATGATACATGGGCTACTAGTGTGCAAAATCCCAAATCGGCCACTAGCGTCCACAATGATAAAATGGCCACTAGTGTCCAAAATTCAAAACCGATCACTAGCGTCCAAAATCTAAAATCGACTACTAGTGTCCAAAATCTAAAATCGGCCACTTGTGTTCAAAATAATAAATTGGCCACTAGGGTCCAAAATCCAAAATTGACCACTAGCGTCCGTAATGATAAAACGGCCAGTAGTGTCCAAAATCCCTAACCGGCCACTTGTGTCCAAAATCCAAAATCGGCTATTTGTGTCCAAAATGCTAAATTGGCCACCGCTGTCCAATATCCAAAATCGGCCATTAGCGTCCAAAATGATAAGTCAGCCATTAATGTCATCCAAAATGGACCACTAGAGTCCGAAATCCCAAATCGGCCACCAGTGTCCAAAATGTAAAAGCACCTACTTTTGTCCATAATGATATATTGGCCACTGGTGTCCAAAATTCAAAATTCAGCTACTTGTGTCCAAAATTCAAAATCGGTCACTTGTGTCCAAAATGATAACTTGGCTGCTCGTTTCCAAAATCCACAATCGACCACTA